GGTCACTTAGACGCTGAAGAATTAAAGCCTGGCAGCGTGGTGCATGTCTGTAACTTTGGAGGTAGATACAGGGCTGCCGTGATGCTGAAACAAACCAGCTAAGGCAGGTAGTGATGTCCGCCTTTAAGTCTTGTTTAGGCAGCCATGTTGGTGAAATTTCAGGGGTGCGGGAGACAGTCTCACAGAAACCTTCCTGTTCCTCTGGCTCTTACAATATTTCCACCCCTTTTTCTGCCACGATCCCAGAGCCTTAGGTGCAGGAGTTATGTGATAGGTTTATTAGTTTGACCTGAGCTCCACAACTCTGCGTTGTGACTGGTTGTGGTATTCTGCAGTGGTTTCCATTTGTTGCTAAGGGAAGTTCCTTTGATGAGGGGTGAGAACTACACTTATCTGTGTGTAAAAAGACAAATATTTAGAATGTAGTCAGAGACTGAGCTAGTTCCATAAAGTGGTATTTGTAGGTTCTCTTCCAAGATCCATGACTTCACCAGCCCTGGGTTTCAGGTACCAAACATGATTTCCCTCTTGTTGAGAGGTCTTAAATCCAATACAGAGCTGTTGGCTCCTTTGCAAGCTTGCATGGCATAGTCAGTAGCCATGGCGGCTATTCCTCTGTGTCCTGTGTCTCAGGTGCACAGCGTCTTCAGCAGTAGGGATTTATCTTTCACTTCTAGGCGTCAAGCAAGGCCAATAACTATAGCCTATGGCATTTGAGGAGTGTCACAGGCAACAACTCCAATGAGGGCTTCTTATACCTGGTGCTGGGACTTTTGTTAGCTGGCTGGTGGCTTCTGGGAAGAGCACTGCTAACCCAGATGGGGAAATTACATTTAATCTGTATTTGCGTATGTATGCAGACTGACACGCACTATAGGTATTTCCGGTAGGTAGTGGTATGACTTCCTTGCAAAAATCTTCATTCATCCTTACTGTTACTTAAACTCCCCTCCCTAATTAAAGCCCCCATATAATGTATTTTGATCATATCCCATTATTCTTTTATGCCCTTCCACTCCCACTGACCATCCTCTTCCCAAGCCCTCCCCCTCAATTTTATGTATTTTTGTGTGTGTCTCACTGAGTTTAATCTGGGTTGCCTGCATAAGCAGAGGTGGGCTTGAGCAAGAGCAGAAAAATGAACCCTCCTAGGTGCATTTGGAACATTTTAAAAAATTGGCCATACCTGGACACAAAACAAGTTTCTAAAGGTTTCTAGTGGGTAGAAATAGATGGCAGGCATTTTCATTAGTTTTCAAAAGCTACAGTAACAAGTGATCACAAAGCCAGTCCTTTAAAACAGAAACTTATTATTTCATAGTTCACCAAGTATGCGTGCACGTGTGTGTTTATGTGTATGTGTGTGTGGGTATGTTTTGAGACAGGTTTCTCTGTGTAGCCTTGGCTGTCCTGGACTCACTTTGTAGACCAGGCTGAACTTGAACTCAGAGAGATCCACCTGCCTCTGCCTCCCTGAGTTCTGGGATTACAGACCTGCAGTGCCCAGCTCAGTCTCAAGATTCTTAACCACAACTACAAAGACCCCTTTTCATGTAAAGTGACATATCATAGGGCAGTGCCTGAGGGCTGTTATTCAGCACACCACAGTAATGACACACTCTGTACTAAGCTGTGTTCTCAGTACTTCAAAGGCATTGCTTGATGCTTTTAAGACAGGAGACAGGTACTGCTTCCATCTTTTGGGTGGCCTGGCTGAGGCAGAGGCTTCAACAGCCCATCTGAGCTCATCAGTTTGCAGCTCGTTGGGCTTTTAACAGAAGCTGTTTAGCCTTTATTTTCAAATTCCAGGTTTACAGGAAATTCACAAGCAGTACAATTTACAAATACTTTCAGCTAGACTCTCCACATGTTAATGCTCTGTGTTATCACTCTCTCTGCATGTATTTTAGTGTTTTTGTTTTGATTTTGGGGTATCTTGTTGCACATACAATGTCCCATTCTCCCTGAAGAATATCACAGCACACTTAAAAAGGAGGGTGGGGTGGCAGTGTGTTTATCAAGTCACCGAAGCATAATTATCCAAACTTGCGAAGCTAATTTGCTGACCTGTACTCAAATTGTATCAGCAGTCTTGTGTTAAATTGAGTAATATCACATAGGATCTAATATGGGATTACATGCCGTATGCCATTGTCACATCTCTTTAGGTTCATGAGGTTTGTATTGAGAGAGTTGGAAAGCGGCAATAGGGGTGGATATGATCATATTTCTATTATGTGTATGTATGAAATTCTAAAAGAAGCCAAACAAACCCAAAAACCAAACCATAATCTTGCTATGTAGCCCAGGCTGGCATCAAATAGGTCATACTTGCAATACAGGTCAGCAGTAAAGCATTAACAATAGAATGCCTGAGGCCCTTGGTTCAGTCTCCAGTACCATCAAGAGCAAAACTATAAACATTAACTCAAAAGAGAATCAGGAGGTTGTCTTTAGCCTTTAATTCAAGCACTTGTAAGGTAGAGGTAGGATTCCAAGACCAAGGCAATCCTCTGGTACAAAGCTAGTTTGAGGCCAGCATGGGATACGTGAGACCTAGCTTGGGTGAGAACAGAAAATATAAAGTTGTCAACAGGAGAGGAGCCATGTTGACAAAGATGGAGCAGGAGCAGCCTCGGCAAGAGTACATAGCAGCCTGGCTGAATTCTTGGATACTGATATGGAAGAGCCACAGTCAGATCCCAGCATTGAGACCCCTCTGAGTCAAAAGACATTTTTAGACTTGTGGAAACTACTTTCCCTCCAAGAACGCTCCGTCCACTTGCGGCCATTTGATTCCAAGGAAGATCTGCGCCAGCCCCAGATATTACAACTTGGTTAGGAGGCCCAGGTGAAGCCCTCCAGGTGTCAGCAGCTCCTGCAGCAGAGGACCCTGTAAGTGAGGCTCCTGCACCAGCCACTCCCTGGCACCTGACATCTTCTACCCCCTTTCCCCAAACTTTCCAGGGTTACTGTAGTTTGTCTGGGCTTCCTGCACTCAGGGACAGCCAAATCTGTCACATGCATGTACTCCTCTTCCCTCAATAAGGTATTCTACCAGCTGACAAAGACATACCCTGTGCAGGTGTGGGTCAACTTCATACCTCCACCTGGCACCTGTGTCCATGCCATGGCCACCTACAAGATCTCACGACATATGGCAGACCTGCCCTCACCATGAGCCCTGCTCTGACGGAGACGGCCTGCCTGGCTCTTATCCAAGCACAAAGGAAATTCGCATGCTGAGTATGTGGACAGGCAGACATTTCAGCAGTGCGGTGGTACCGTATGAACAGGCTGAGGTTGGCTCTAACTGTACCACCATCCACTACATGTACAGAGCTCCTGCATGGGGGCCATGACCCATCTGACTGTCCTTAGCATCACCACACTAGAAGACAGCAGTGGGAACCTGCTAGGATGGAACAGCTTTGAGGTTCGTGCTTATGTCTGTCCTGGGAGGGACCATTATACAGAGGAAAAAAAAAATTCTGAAAAAAGGGAGAACCTTGCCCAGAGCTGCCCTAAGAGAGTGCTAAGCGAGCACTGTCCACCAGCAGTGTCCACTAAGCTCCCCTCCCCAGCCAGAGAGAAAACTACTTGATGGAAAAGATTTAACCCTTAAGATCCGTGGACGTGAATGATTCGAGATATTCCAAGAACTGAACGAGGCCTTGGAATTCAAGGATGCTCAGGCTGCAGAGGAGTCGGGAGACAGCAGAGCTCACTCCAGCTACCTGAAGACAAGGACGGCCAGTCTACCTCCCCTTATAAAAATCTAATGATCAAGAGAGAGGAGCCTGACTCAGACTGACACCTTCTACTTCCTCCCACCTCAGTCCCTCCTATCATTTTACTTGGGTGCTTGAACCCCTGCTCACATTGATCTGTCATCATGTATCTGGGGAGGATGATGGGATGCAGCGGCATGAAGGCTTGGAGGAAGAAATTCTTGTAGGTGGGGTTGGAGTTTACACTTGGCGATGGGCAGTGGTGATGGCTCTGCCAATTCTGCCTGAGTTTACTTTCTCCCAATTTGAATAGACACATCTATAAAATGTTATCAGTATACCTACTTCTCAGGACTTCTAAGAGTTGACAAAATAATGTTTGTACCTTCCCCTGCCTTTTATAACCTTGTTGCTAGGACTCAGCCCCCTCGGGGAGTGCTGGTTCATAGTCTGAGTTGGGGAGTGGGTTGGTAGTTTCCTGGTCTCTGCTGGGCCAGCAAAATCCTACCCAGTCCCTTGTTGGCACCTAAAATAAAATCTTACCCCCCCCAATACCCTGTAGGATACATCTTGGGCTCTCGTAGGGTCCCTATCCAACAAGATCCATTTTCTTTCCACCCTGTGCTCAGGATCAGTTTCTTCTAACCCTGCAAAGCCTGTCTGGAAATGCCAAACCTTTTCCTCTTTTGTACCCCTTTTTATGTATCAATTTCTTATTTTACAATAAAATTTGTTATCACTCGATCAATCAAGTTGTCAGTAGAAAGCTGAACTTTGTGATTCTACAAAATAAGCTTCACTGTTTAAATGACTTCAAGCACATGGTTTTAGTAAAACTTTTCTTTTCAAGGTACTTACTTGAAATTTATTTTTGCCTGTTATTACTTTCATCCTGGAGTATTAAACACAAAAGAATGTTTGACACACTGAAGCAACTAAAGCCAAAACAGGGAAGTTCTGAAGATGCCAAAGAATCTCCAGCTAGGATTACAGCTACCTTCTATGGGAAACAGATTTTGTACCCCACAGTTGTTTTCCTAGCTGGTGAAACTAGCAATCTGAAATATTTCAACACTTCAATCAATTAAACATTTTAAGTAGGCTGGTGGACGTTCAAACTAGGAATTGAAGCCTATGCACACAGTGACTGTCCGTACTGCATTCTGCAGCATGTGCACGCTCTGACACTGTCATCAGCCTGAGCTTACTTTAAGGCAGTGTAGCTCGGGCTTTAGTTTCCACCATCACAAATACACTTTCATTCAACACCATGGTTACGTCATTCTTTATTAAAAGCAGATATAGAAATTCTAATGGGACATTAACTTCGAACAAGTTTCCGTGATTGATCACTACCATAGAAGGAGTCATCCCAAGCGAGCAGTTCGGGTGCAGTGGAGACATAAAGAGGGCTGGCTGTGCATGCAGGCTGCTTTGCTGGGTTTCAGTGGTACCACAGGATGTCTTTGGTCTTGATGTTCACTTTTGCCCACTCACCTTTACATTTCAGTCTCACAAGTATTCAATATTTACAAACATTTGAATAGAGCAGACACAGTATGTGTTATAAGAATAACATTTTGTGCACTTATGTGTGAGAAACAACTCTGTATTTTAATTCTCTTTGTCTTAGCTACTTTTGAGAATAGTTCCATATAAATACATGAGCTGGAACATACATTTAGAAAACCTTACAGAAATCCACATAAACTGCATTGTGTCCATCCATTAAAAAAAAAAAAAAAAAAAAATCAACTAAGCCTCCTTCCCTCTGACGCTAAGCAAATAAAAAATTAGGTAGTCATTAAACTGTCCAGTAGGTTCCAGACAAAATATAAGGTGATCATTGGCATTCTGGGCCAGAGGGATTCTGTGTCTACCTCTGTCATTCCAGGATTTGTTCCTTTCTGTCAAAGTGGTCTATACATTTGGTAAAAGTATTTATGTTAAACTTCAAATTACTCCTACTTGTATTCAGAATATATGTTAGGAGCCTCTAAAACAAGTTTGTTTTCCTCCAATTACGCCATGTTAGTAATTACTGAGACAACAGCAGAGACTCTGGGAACAGCCAGGCGTGTGCAGGCCCAACTCTCTGGCCAAGGGGCTCAGTGGCTCATCAGCGTTTAGTTCTTCTTAGTTTTCTTCAGAAAGCGATTCCGCAGAGACTTGTTGAGACCCATGGTTATTTTAAAATAAATCCAACGAGGCAAGATTGAGCTTATTAAGCCCTAGGGAAAGAAATGGGGGAGATAGATAAGCACAGGCCACAACTGAGCTAACGCGAACGCAAGTAGAGCCTATCAGCCACCTTCCATTCTCCACACAGTCATTACAGAGATTAAAGTTCTGAAGCACACCGTTTGAAATCAAGTATGTCTTTTTTTTAGAATTGAAGATGTGGACCACTTTGTCTGGCAAAGTATATGTCTTGATTTTAAGAGATGATATAAAAAGAAAGGCCCAAACTGGAAAATATGGTCAAGATTTAGGAATGTACATACCAAGAGGGCGTGGATCACATATCCAGTGGTTCGGGACTGCAAGCCTACTGTTTTTATTGCAGACTTCACAAATGTCTCTGCAGAGGGCTTATCCAAAGTTGGCTTCTGTATTTTTGCCAGCTTTGTAGCTACATAGAATGGCAGGACACTCTAGAAACATGTAAAACAAAACAAAACATGCCACTGATTAGGAAGGTACCAACTCAGAACTGAGAATGATGCCTGCCTGCCTGTTGGTAGTAGTAGAAGCATCCTCATGAAATCTAGAGTTTGTATCTTTAGAGAAGTGGGGAGAGACATGCTACTGCCTAAAGTCAACTTCACAGAACATATAACAGCAAAATTATGAACTGTAATACAATGATGACCTGTTGGTGAAATAGAAATAGAGGCTGGGAAACATGAGGATAGGCAGAAGCAACGATTTCTGAACCTTTAAAAGGAAAGCACGGAGCTGAGGCTCAGGGTATTCTTCCTGGCAGTCAAGTGGGACTCTGCTGTGCGGTCAAGCAGCACTGAGTTTCTGGTGTCTGACGGGGACAACTTTGCTCTATCACGCCTGGTGAGTTACGCTTGTTCTATGAGCTTTTGTCCCTCAAAAGGAAACATTTCACCTTCCTAGCCTTCAGCCACCACTTCTCTTCTCTGGTGTCTTAATGTCCTGTTTCTGTGAAGACAGAACCCCATCTTTTTTGCTCCCTTCTGTTTTGGGAAGAGAGGGTATAATAATAAGGAAATAGCCTGGGTGACTAGATGTTGCTTGACAGGACAGGTGTAAGGTGGAAATCCAGACATGAGCATTTCTAGGCATTTTATGAATGCTAGGCTCTCAACTGCATATGCGCCCTGTGGTCCGGGTGTGATGCAACACAGAGCACAAGGAACCCCTATTGTAATGAGTTCTGGGAGTCACGATGAAAAAGGTTCCTATGTGGTTCAAAAGACCTCAGGTGTACAGTAGCACACCAAACACTTGTTCCCCTCACAAGTGTGAAAAGAAAGGTCCATTGACCTGAGGTCCATTATCAATGCTAATTAAACAAACAAACAAACAAAACAGTTCAACATATAGTTAAAATGAATGGAAAAAAAATCTTAAGTTACAAATAAAGCTCCCGTCTTTCACACTTTAAATTCTTTTCTACTGAGACTCTGGGGTTTTATATATATTTGTATTTTTAAAAAAACATTTCAAGTATAAGTCAAAGAATACAGCTCACCATCCTTAGTGTGTGAGCTGAATCTTCAACCCCTCTATTAAAAGCCCGAACCACAAAGATCTAACTGGTGCCATTCTCCATCTTCCTCGCCCTTGCAGGAGGCAAACCCCACAGTAAGTATCCAGTCACCACAGCCCACCAACAGCTGGGATGACTGATTATGTAATCTGACTTCTGAGGATTTCTTTATTGGAAATATTAGTATACATCTCTTTTTAATGAGCAAATGTTTTGTCAAGTCTTTAGTCCATTTTCTTCCATCAGAATGAAGGCAGGCTGGGGAAGGCTCAGGTAGACAGACTGTGAATGGTATAAACTCTGACAGCAGGTAAAAACATGGACGTGCACAGCTTTCCTCATCTTTTTTTTCCTGGAGAACACAGTCTACAAGGGGTGCTGGGAAGTCTTGAACTCCAGAGATAAGCCAGTCTGTAACTATGCCTTTAACGTATGCAGAATGATCTGCACTTTTCTTTCATCCACCCTTTTGCTCTCTCAGAATACATAAGCAGCATAAACTGTACTATTCTGATATTGCAGAATTCAGTTGCACTGCCTGACTGAACCACATGGTGGCACCACAAGATAACCCATGGCTTCAGGGTTCAGCTAGCCTATGGTAGGGTTCTGAAGGAGCCTCCAGCTATGGGGGGCAGGGACAGACAGGCCTGGGCAGAATTCCTAGTCAAGTTATATCTTCCCAGCTAAGAAATGGAAATTCTAGGCTGGAAGGTTTGTGTATGTCACCTGGATATAAAATCAAGGTGGCTATTAGTGGCCTAGTGAAGTATGAAGGATTCAGAAACCAAACAGCTTTAGAACTAGGCCCTAAAGGAAGTAGAGGAGTCAGCTAGGTAAAGAGGTAAAAAAAACAGGAGCAGAGAAGAAGAGCTGTGAAGAGCAAGGCATTTTCAGGGTACTGCAAAGAGTGTGGTACAGTCGAAAAGAAGACAAAACAAGTACCAGGCAAGTTCTAGAACACAAGCTCAAGAAGGCGGCTGTCTCCACCTCCATTCTCAGCACTGAGAACATGATACACAGCCGGGCAGTGAAGACCTACTGAAGACAGGACAGACCAGCACTTCACATGCACAAGACTGAACAGTACCGAGGCCCTTTCCAATGAGGCAACATTTTAAATATTCTGAAGCTTAAGTAACATTATCTGCCTCAACAAAGCAAACCTATTGATGTAGATGTGAAGGGTACTAAAGGAATATGTAAAGATAATGGAAAAGTACAGACATTTTTTTTTACATCAAAAGTCACCAAAGTAAATACATGCTCAAGAAACAATAATTAATCCATCTTCTGCCTATGCAGGAAAACACTATGGTAAAAATCAGAAATATACCTATACTTTAACAAAGTTTTTCAATAGAATTAAACTTGAAAGTCATTTACGCTCAACAAGTCACCAGTCAACAAGTCCCTCAGAAACAGTGTGACCCTGACAGCCACAGCTGTGGGCAAGTATTCTGATTTCCAAATTTAGAATCTCAAACTGAAAAAAATTAGTTAGGCCATAAGGCAAACGCTGGTGCTGCTGTGTCTCTCCTCAGCTTATTAAAGAAGGGCCTGGAGACCACAATGTGGTATGCTGTTTTCCACTTATTTGCTGGAGTAGACTGCTTGGACTATGGGCTTCATAGAGACGTGCTGTGGAGTCTTGGTTCAGGGCAGGAAAGGCACTACATCTGGATGCCACGGCGAGTGCAAAGAAGGATGCCCGAAGCCACATGTCAAATGTGTAAGAGTCAAACATTGAGTCTTGGAACTCCACATGGCAGAGCCAACTGTGAACTAAATAAGCCTTCTCAAACCTAAAAATGATCAGAACTTGCCATGATAGTGCTTAGGGGAAATGAGAATCAAGAGGAAGCAGGCTTTTGCTCTTTTGAACAAGAGTCCACATGTGGCATCTAAGTTTGTGCTGTCTCTAGATTCATGTGGTCCTTTGCTGTTTCCTCACCTTTCTTCTGGTCCAGCAAATTAAACAGCATAACAAAGACAACTCTAGGGCAGTTTCAGCATTAGGCTGGCAGCAGTCAGCACAGTCATTTGTCTCTTGTTGAGTCTGAAGCTGGCCAATGGGCTTCAGGAATTTGCCTGTCTTTCCTTCTTTCCCCAGAGCTGGGGTTAAAGGCACATGCCACTGTGCCCAGCCTTATTTCACGCTGAATGAGCTATCTCTCCAGCCCATACACATTGTTAAGGCAGAGGCTGTGGCTCCTATAAGGTTAGGGAAACTTGACTTCTTTTAAATCTGTGTCTTCATTTATTGAAACCTCAGGACTTGAAAAGCTCCAGAAGACATGAATGACTAAACACATACATTGTAGTTTGGCTACTTGCACTTCTCTACTTGTAGATATGAACTCTCATAAAAACCTCAAGACGTTCTAAAAGTACTGAATCAAGAGCCAGACGTGGTGGCACACGTCTTTAATCCCAGCGCTCGGGAGACAGAGGCAGGCGAATCTCATGAGTTTGAGGCCAACCTGGTCTACAAAGCAAGTTCTGGGACAGCCATGACTATACACAGAAATCCTGTATTGAAAAACAGAAAAAAAAAAAAAACAAAAAAAAAAACACATTCTGAGTGAAGTATCCCAGAAGGAGAAAGACAAACTTGGTATATACTCGCTTATATAGACCTACAAGACATGATAAACATAATGAAATCTACACACCTAAAGAAGATAATCAAGAAAGTGGACACAGGGAAAGGTGATTAATCCTCATTTAGAAAGACAAATGGGATGTTCATTGAACTTATGACAGGAGTCTACCACAAAAGGCATCTGAAAGACTCTACCTAGCAGTGTTTCAAAGCAGACACTAAGACTCATAACCAAACCCTCGGCAGAGTGCAGGGAATCATATGAAAGAAGGGAAGTTAGTATGATATGGAAAGGATAGGAGCTCTACAAGGACCAAATATATCCGGGCACAGGGTCTTTTCTGAGACTGACACTCAACCAAGGACCATCTATGGATATAACCTAGAACTTCTGCTCGGATGTGGCCTGTGGCAGCTCAGTAACCAAGTAGTTTTCCAAAGTAAGGGGAACACGGACTATTTCTAACAGGATCTCAAGGGCAGGCTGTTTGACACCCCCCCCCCCAGGGGAGGAGCAGTCTGTTAGGCCACAGAGGAGGACTTTGCAGCCAGCCCTGAAGATACCTGATAAAACAGGGTCAGATGAAAGGGGAGGAGGTCCTCCCCTATCAGGGGACTTGGAAAGGGGCAGGGAGGAGACCAGGGAGGGAGTGTGGGGCTGGGGAGGGAATGAGGGAGCGGGATACAGCTGGGACACAGAGTTAACAAAATGTAACTAAAAAGAAAAATAAAATAAAATAAAATAAAAAAGTCTAAAAAAAAAAAAACAGGAAAAAAAAAGTACTGAATCAAAGGAATCTTCCTGAAGATTGATGTGTCTGAATCAGAAATAAATTTTAGCATTTCAGCTCAGTACTGTGTGCACAAAGAAGATCTTAAATACACTCTGGGTAACTACTGATCCTGCAAAGAACCTGCCTTCAAACATGTGGAATGTGTGTGTATGCTAATCTTCACTGAACAAAAGGGAAAACTGAAACTACACAACCCCCATCTAACAATGTACTTGAATGTATCCTAAAAGACATTTAGGCACTTAGGATATAAACATGTACAAAAACAGAGGCTCTGATTTTACAGAGGGATGTGGGCAAAAGACACTGATGGTGGAGGCTATTTCTGCAATTAGGTTATCAAGAAAGGGCTCTCAGATAACGTCATATATAAGAAATATTCTAACCAAAGAGACGGAAGCTAGCCCAGAGATATCTGATTGCAGAGCCTTTTAAACTGAGGTGAACAGCCAAGGTGCAAATCAAAGCACCATGGGTCATAAAACTCAAGAGTTTACTCTGAAGGATGTGGGT